ATATATATATGTATATATATATATATATATATATATATATATATATATATATATATTTGTGTGTGTGTTTGTGTGTGTGTGTGATTGAGGTCTCATTTAAGTTCTTTATAAAGATATCATCTTTGTAGGTCCTATAGTCAAATATTTCATCATTTAAAGACTCGAACTATTGATACTAGATAAGTTAAAATTATTAAATTTGATAGAGGTAATAAATTTTATGATAGTTGTGATGAATCTGGTTATAATTATAATTTTTTTGCTAGATTCCTAGAAAAGTAAGATATTTTTGCTCAGTATATTTTACCAGATATTTTATAACAAAGCAAGATTGCTTAAAGGAGAAATTGTATTTTTATGGATATGGTTATTAGCATGATGAGTAATTATTACATACCTGAATCAATAATAGGAGAAGTTTTAAAGATTATTATTTATATCTTGAAGAGGGTTCCTAGTAAATCAATTCCATCAACTACTTTTGAGTTATAAATTAGTAGGAAACTCAACTCGAGACATTTACATATTTATGATTGTCATACAATTTTTAAAATATCTCAAAGAAAAAGGAGACATACTATTTATTATTATTATATGGTATATCTACAAGGGTCAAATTATAATATAGGAATCAAAATGATCCCTCATTGTTTTCATAAGTTATAGAAAGAAATGATTTTAAAAAATAATTAAAAATAATAAAAGAAGAGTTAAAATTAATGAACTAGATTAGTGTCTAAGAACTCGTCAAATTATCCAATAACTATAAAAGAGTCCATTATATAAATGACTCAAAGGATAAAATCAAATGATATAAATTTAAACTTATAGCTAAAGATTTTACTCATAAACAATGTATTAACCATAACAAGATATTTATCTAATAGACTTGTTAAGAATCTTCATGATATTAGTAATTCATTATTTTTTTTATTACATCAAATGGATATAAAAATAACTTTTCTGAATGAAGATTAGGAAATCCATTTATGATCCTAAATAAGCCTCCAAACAATTATATATAAAGTCCATAATACCATTATTTTTTTTTAAATAAAAAAATATTATTGATCAATTTTAATATTTGAATATTAGTGAGAGTAAGTTTATTATATTGATCTTATATGTGGATTAGATTTTGCTTACCAGCAATGACCCTAGTTTATTACCAGCAATGAGGAAACTTATGTTAGTGGTATTGTGATATTCAAGGATAGCTCTCACATATTGCAAAAGTCATCTCATAAGAGATATATTATTGAGTCTTAGAGAGATTTAATATACAATTTTATTTAGCTAATAATATACCTATTACTAAAAGTAAAAGATTCAATTAAAGTTAGTATCTTAAGAATGACTTAGAAAAGAATCAAATTAAGGATATTCATTATGTATGCATAGTTGGAAGTATATTATATGCTGAAACTTATACTAAACTAGATATCACTTTTGTAGTTAGAATACTAAGTAGATATTAGGGTGACCTAGGAATGAAATATAAAAGGTTGGAAAGAAAGTAATAAGATGTTTTGAATGGATGAATGATTATATGCTCACATATATGAAATTAGATTAGCTTGAAATGATGATATTTTTCAAATGCTAATTTTATAAATTACCTTGATAGTAGGAAGTTCACTTTATCTTTTATATTGATTAGTTGAAAGGATATTTTATAAAAAATATAAAGTAATGTATTATTGTATTATCAATAATAGAAGTTGATTTTGTGGTATTTTTTGAGGCTATTAATCAATCTTTTTGACTGAAAAATTTTATCTCAAAACTTGGTATAGTCAAATTGAATTGCCAAGTCACTAAAGATATTTTGTAGTGTATTTCAGTAGTTTTCTCTTCTAAGAATGACAAGTACTCTATCCATTTTATGTATTATAGTATAAAATACTTGATGGTCAGAGAAAGAGTCAAAAAATTATTAATATCAACTAAGAATTTACATGCTCTTATGATTGGGTTTTTGAGTAACCCTTAAAAGATATGATGATGCATATTTGAGTGTATATTATAATTAAAATTATATATTTTTGCTATCATGTTTATATTTATGTATTTACATATTATGGTTAAATATGATAATAGGATTGTCTTGACAAGATAAATTATAAAGGTTATTTTTTTACTATATTAGGAAGAAGGGTTGATAGTGTTTTAGTACATAGAAGGAAGTATGATATTGATAACATACAATCACTATTCTTTGTATTGGTAATCAAACTTAATGTGGTATTATAATGTTTATTGGACTTATTAACTTGATTTATAAAATTCATACATATATGTAAAATATTTTTTTTAAAGTTTTAGAATCCAACTAAGTAATATTTCTTTCAAATAAATTTTTATTTTATTTATTTTGATTTTAATTTTTTTTATATCTTACTAATTAATAGATCAAGTGGAATATTAGATTATGTGGTTATATCTAATTATGTAAGATATATTATAAATCTGATTGGATTCTGATTATGATTATCAACCAATAGAAAGGAAGTTTAATTATAGTAGGATTTCTTATGAAATAACCTTATTGGGAAAGAAATTCCTAATTACCATCCTAGATGATCTATTCTGGTATATAAAAATATAGGACCTCCTAGGGACAAAACTATAGTTATTAAGATTATAGATTTATTCTTAATATCTCTTAGTCATTAATCTATCACTAATAGTAGTCTTGTAAATGATAAGAAGAGAGAAGAATGTGAGTCTAGTTCTCCTTACAAATCGACATCATTATAGCTTTCGAATCCAATAATGATATACCTATAGATCAAATAAAGGCTTTCTAAATTGCATCAAAAGGTACACAACGTAAATTTGATGTATCATTATTTGATTTTAGTTTCTAGCATTAAAGTTTTTCATATAATAATAGCATAATCATAGTTTTTATCCTTATATTCAATTTTTTAAGCTCTTTACTCCCTTCCTTCTAAATGATATAACCCTGGATATAATTTTACTTTCATCAAGATCATGTAATCCTAAGTAACTTTTAGAACTCTATATTCTTTTGCATCTTTGGAACATAAGTCACATCTTTGATATTTACTTTACTCACATCGCCACTGTTAAATCATTACCGAAACTCAACTTACTAGTCAACTTATTATTCAATAAATTAAAACAATACCTTTGAGCTCAAACATAAGTAACATAAATATAATCTAAAAACTAACCCTTCTAAAAGGATGCATCATTATTACCCTTAGCGATTTTGAGGATATCTCAATCAACATCCATTGCAGGAAAGCACTCACCAACCTTTTATTATCTTTGGATAATTTTATTTGATATTTCATACTCTTTGCACGTATAACATTAAACATTATTCAAAAACCTAACTTATGATCTCGACTTACCAAGTTGAGATTCACTCATGTTAGAAAACCCTCGTTGTTGATCTCTACCCTAAGCAACTAATGTCTTATCATATATATTCTCAAATTTATCTTATTCTAAAGTTACTATATACTTCCTACATGGTATATCTCCACAAATAGGAGTCAATGTAAGACGCAATAATATATTACCTTCTTCATCAATTTTTATATCAACCTTTTTCAGATTATCCAATATTTCTTTGAATATGTTCTGATACTTTATAGTCTTAAACTCTCTTGATCCTCAACCTATATAACTTTTACTTTAGATATAACATATTTCTTAAGCTTTAAGTTAGATAAAGTTTTTCTAATTTATCTTAAATAATCATAACGAACTCATCATCAATAACATTATTTATAATATTGTCGATGATGTAAAAACGAATAGTACCTATACAATTTGCGTGAAGTTCCTCCCCATCTTTGTCACTCATCTTTTATGATTTGTTTATTTATTTCTTTAACATTCTCCTTAGCCTTATTGAACGAGAAGATTTTTCACCCTCCTCTATCATAGGGTGAAACTATTTCTTTTATCAAAATTTTCCATAGTACAAACAATGAAAACAACTAATGACATCTTTGTTGAATATTGTATTACTAGATCTTTTGGGCACTAATACCATTTGCTGAGAAAATGAACTTGAAACCAAAAGAAAATAAGAGATCAACAAATAAAGAAGATGCCAAAAAATTGATATAAAATTTAACATGGTTTGATAACTTTCTACCTATGTCCATGGAAAAATCAAATTGTTCATTATGAGAAAAATCAATACAAGGAATCAGTTATCCTGAGTTAACCCAAACTCAAAGCCTGAAACCCCTATACACCCTCAAGAGTACCCAAAATGTCTATGTCTCTCCTTCACCAAAATCTTAAGACTCAAGGTATATTTATAAAAATAAATCTTAATTTTCTAAGAATTTTTTTTACTTGAATCCCTAATATAAATCCTGATCCTAGTCTATGAAGGAGTTTGAATTTAATTATACCTCCTCCCAATTAATTAAAATCTAATTTTAGAACTCGTAAAATATTTATCAATCTTAATAAAAATGATACAAAAAATAAGACTATCTTATGCCATATATCTAATAGGCACATGAAGAATATGACTTATAAATAACTAATAATCATATATTTGAAAAGAATCCAATTATGTGCATCGACTAAGAAAATAAGTTGTTTATTCTGTTAATTTTAATCGTCTAGTCCGTAGGTTATCTTAAATTTTCGATCAATGTCATTCATTACATACGAAAGATTAGTAGATGCGACATCATCTTAATTCATATTCTTAACTGATAGTGACTCGGTGACTTAGACATCCGACATCATCTTAATTAATATTCTTAACTGATAGTGACTCGGTGACTTAGTCATCCGTGGACTCGGTGACTCAGTCATCCGTGGACTCGGTGACTTGCATTCTTGCATTAGCACTATTAAGGCAGCAGCGGGAAGAAGAAGATGTCTCCACATCCAACACCCTCTCGTTTGCATTTCATCTTCTCCTCCAGTCTATTGCAGATTCCTGTGTTCATGGTAAGTAAAACACATTTCTTCTGCTTCGTTCATAGCTGGTAATCCTTTCTCTTTTAGTAGATTGGTTTTGCTATTTTAGATCTTTTAAGCATTTGATCTTTGGGAGGCGTGATACACTTTAAGATATAAGCACCAGAAATTTGAGTAATAAACATTGCTATCTAATTTTTATTTCAAAATTGTTATTTCATTTTTACTCTTACCGAACTAAAGATGAAATGTAAAGCTGTTTCTACGATCTATGATGGCGATAAATCTCGAACTGGTCTAAATGGGATGGGTGTTCTTCAACCCGTAAAACACTTATAGTAGGTCAGAATAAGCTCTAGAAAGACGTACAGCAACTATTTAGGATCATATCCTTAAATAATTTTTCAATCCTATTTAAGAATTCTCAATTCAAAAGTGTTTCCCTCACTCAACTCCTGTTTCTCCTTGGAAAGCTTCTCCTTAGAAAGCTTAAGAAGGTTGTCGGGTCATACTAGAACCCCTCTCTGTTTTATACGTTCTCTTATCACTGCTTGGTAGGTACATTTTGAGTACCGTACTATTTTCGAAAGCTTACTTTAACCAATGGTGTTTTTCTTGTTAGATTATATAATTATATTTAATTAAATAAGATATATTAGATATCTAATTAAATTGTAATTATAATTATTAATCAGTAGAAAAAAAAAAGTTTAATTATTATAGAATTTCTTAATAGATTATCTTGATAGAAAAAACTTTCATAATTACTTATCTTATATCCTTTACTCTTACGATATATATTATATTATAATATACATTACAATATATATTATTTATATATTATATTAAATTATATTATAATATATATTATATTATATTATAATTTAAGAAATTATAGATCTTCTCTTATTTTCCATCGGTTCATATTTTATCTCTTATAATGATATTATGAAGGATAGAAAAAGAGAAAAATATAAATATAGTATTCTTTGCATATTGGTATCATTGCTTCATTTAAATTGGACAATGACATCAAAAGGTACATAATCTTAATCTTGATCTATCGTTATTTGATTTTGATTCTACTGTTAAGATTTTTTCACTAAACAAAAGTATGATTAAAATTTTATGCTTACAATTAGTATTAAAAATATTAGATTTATTTTATATAAGATAGTTATTGTTATCACCTTTTGCTTAAGAAAAGTTGTTATTACCTTTTGCATGTGAGAACATGTTATTTATATTCTGATAATGTGATGCTTGCCTCACATGGTTTGTCTGTTTTCATATAACTCACCTATATCTTTTCTCTTGCTTGTTTATGAAAAGGTGCTATCATTTTGGTTGACAGATTATCATCGATAGTCTACTATTGGCGATGGCGTAGTATAGGATGATAGCGTAGTATAGGGTGATGGCCTACTGTGATCACTGGCTTGTTAAGGACTACTACTATAGCTATGCAATGACTATTCATGGTAGTGAAGTGAAAGTTCAATGACCATATTGAGGGCAGTGGTCATGGGCCCTACTATCACGAATAATCGTTGTGTGCCTGCAACATCTTTGTCAGAGGATCATTCATCATTTTTATTTGTTTGTACATATATCTAGCAACGTATTTTACCTTATTTTTATATGTTTTTACTTGAAAACAATGAGTAGGAATAGTTCATAGTGTTATAAAGTATTCGCTCATCAGAATAGGTAAAAGTATCCCAAAATGGCTCACTTTTCGTGTGTTATGACTTGTTTTCTGTAGGCTATAGTGCAGTATAAAACGTCAATCATCTCAACACCCTAGAACCTCTCGAGTGGCATAGAGCTAGATAGGGGTTTGAGGTGGCATTGGGTATTAATTAGATTCACAAGTTCGTATGTTAAGCTTATGAGAACTTGCTATCACGCTTGACACTTAACGAGCAGTTGTTTGCAAACATACAACTGTTCATTTACCTTTTAAAGTTCTATATTTTTTTTCTCTTTTCTCCCTTGCACATCAAATATATACTAAATTATTTATATAGTTGTCCTCTTCATGAGACTTCAGGATTTATCCGTCACTCATTTTCGAATTAATCAATTTAATTTTTTATATGCCCTTTGAGATAGTGATAAAAGAAGTTTAATGACATCATGAGTAGCAGTGGTTTTGCAAAATATCAAATAGATCATTGTTACAGTATCAAGAGGTTTGACAACAGTTCTATTATTATGTAGATGATATGCTTGTTACAAGTTTAGACATGCAAGAGATAAATAATTTAAAGTATGAATTGTCAAACAATTTTGTAATGAAAGATGTAGGAGCTACAAAGAATGAGGATTACTAGAGACAGGGAAGCAGGGACTTTAGTACTGTCACAAGCAGAATACATTAATAAAGTACTCTCTCGATTCAACATGCAGAATACTAAACAGTGAGCACTCCTTTTGGTGCCCAATTCAAACTTGCAAAAGAATAATCACAAAAGCCGGTGAGGGGATGATTTGGCCTCAATGTTTCTTCGAAGAACTTGATAAGAACCAGAAGGAAAGTGTCCTATATTCAGATAATCAAAGTATAGTTCAATTAGCAAAAAATCCATCTTTTCATACTAGAATAAAGCATATTCAAATGAAATATCACTTCATTCAGTCCAGAAGATAAAGCCCTTGAGCTCGAAAAGATTCAAGGAAATTGAAACTCTATTGATATGTATCCAAAATGGTGACCATTAATAAACTGAAGTTGTGTTCAACTTCAGTGGTCTGCACATGCAAGGGGAATGCTGGGCTGCTACATTGAGTGTGAAGACGATTAAAATCAGTCTCCTAAGTGCGAGATTGTTAATATCATCTTTGACTTAGTAAAAGTTTTGTTAAAATTTAAATTTTGACTTGGTAAATGAGGTTCTAAGCACTTATCTGATTTATGACTATAAATAGGAGTTGTTATGATTGTTTAGGGTTGTTTAGATTAGTGAGCTACATGTGATATCTTTTTTTACTAGTGTGACTACACTATAAATAAAGATGGGTTCTCTTGAGAAGTGTGTGAAATTATGGTAGAAGCTGTTTAGAGTTGAGAGGTTGTGAGGGATAAGTGTTTTTCTATACATTTGTAATTTTCTCCCTATAGTGAAGATCTAAAGTGGCTTTGTGGATGTAGCGTAAATCATAATATTTCTATGTCTTTGTTTGTGTTCTATTATTTCTTTTACTTCTTTTAATCTAGTACTAAGAGACTTGTTATTTCTCCTGATAGGGAAGCACTATGACATCTTCGTATAATCGAGCTTGCATCTTCCCAATAGATATTTTTGTGATTCAATAATAATAAATTATGCTAGCTAATCCATATAGGGTTCAGGTTCGATGATTCATCGACTCAATACCACCTTTCGGATGAAAGTTTTGATGGAAGAGAGAACTATCATAGAAATATCAAGCATAAACCCAAAAGAAAACAACATCCATTATAGATGCGTAAGATCATATAATAGCATAAAGAAAACAACTTGAAATAATAGAATAATAGTGGGATAGAAAAGCTTATAGATGCATAAGAACGTAGGTTGTCTTTGGACACCACTTGGGTGCTATTGACAATTTGTGTATCGCTATCGATTTTAGTCTTTTTCTTCTCTCTAATTATCGGAACCTCCTCCTAAGGCTTAGAGGGTAGGCAATAAGTTTTGGAGGCTTTTCGCAATAGCTAGATGAAGCTTTGATACGGAGCTTAGGTTGTTGGAACTTGATGAAGAAGGCTATAGTGGAAAGGATGGGCTGCACTATGTAGATTTTTTTCATTCTCTTCTCCTTTCTTCTCTTCTCTATTCTAAGACTAGAATATCTAAGGCCAGCTAGCCTCTTATTGAAAACTTATTTGGTTGCCTTTAAATGGGGGCACACGCCTTGTTTTATAGGGTGAGGAGTGCCATAAGTCCTTAGGGTTTAAGAACTTTTCTTATAGGGTATGTGTAGTTAGTCCTTTCTTTATAGGGATACCATAACTCTCTTATTTAGTGCTTGCCCCTATTTGGGTGAAGGGTATCCTAATCCAATAAGACTTGGATTGAGGTGAGTGGGCTATTAGGATAGAGGATTTACTTGACCAAACAAGACTTCAAGTCTTCAAAGGATCTTAATGCTAGTCATAGGTGCACTGTAAGCCAATTACGTAATAGTATGTGTGACATGATACGTACTTTTTTTTTTAATTATTATATATTTGATATTTTTTTAACTTTATATTACTTATTGTATATATTGTGATGTTCATGGATCTGTGCAATGAGAATCGGATTGTGGTAAAATCACAATAATGAGACTGATTCGCCTTTAAACATATACCCTAAATAATCTCGGTCGTAGGTTATTCGAGAGGGATATCGAGATAATCGGATAAACTAGTGTGTTGTATACCCATCTATATGATGGAGATAACTAATTTTATAGATGCTTGTGTGGGGATACTAGGAATATAGTGCAGGTGCTCATTGGAGAATGAGTTTACTTATCGATCTACTCATGAAATATTGGATGGTTGATGATACCTCATTATTAGAAAGTGATTCTATCATCCTAGTGGTATATTTGGTCCTTGGACTTGAGACACCAAGGATGCCTTGTATAAGTACTTCACTCTTTGATACCAAACTTATAGACCTAGAAGTTCCAAATCTAGCATAACCGGTCATCGTGAGTGGCAACGAACCTTACGAGGATTATTAAGTGTCAATAAATGATCATTCACTCTTAGTATTATGAGAGGAATATTTTATATATTCTTACTCAAGCAAAATCCTTGGCCAGGGTCATTCGGATTAAGAGAGAAATAGTTCTCCGAGAGAATTTTATTAGAGCGAGACTTGCGTAGAAACCATATGGGCCTAATAACACCATGCCTGAAAGATGGTCTTTGGGATATTAGATAGATAAAGAACTATAGATATATGGTAACTAATGACAGACAGGTCTGATAGATTGGAGTACCCTGTATTGTTTGAGGATTACGACATAATGGCCTAGTACGTTCGTAGTCG